GAGTTTTTTACCTCGCGAGCGCGCGCGCCGGTATCATTGTGGTATAGGCCGATACCGATAACCGATGTTAAACACTGGTTTTCTTCTTCTCTCGGACCGTTTGTAGATTAACCGATATTTGTGTATAATTCGAGCCGCGTGTATAGATTTGCGTGTACAACGACAGTGGTTATGGGGCCATGTATACTTCGGATAAAGTTTTATTCGTTATAATATCACTGTCATTTGTCAGTGGTATCAATAGTAATTGTCCTTGCGGAAATCTAAGAGTTTTTGATGCGACGCGTGATTCGTTTCGGTTTTATAGCGGAAAAAAGTGATAACCGGCCCAGCTCTGATCAACAGGTATACGCCAATACTCCATGTCCAACATACTGTCCATCACGTAATCATCCTTATTTTCATTCGAAGACCCCGATACCCGTGCCTATACACACAGTACATTCATTTTTCTGCGCGCATTTAACCACAAGCAGGGGTTGGTTTGAATACAATTTACGGAGTTATTTTAAAACCATTTTTTCAAAACGGCCCCTTTTGAATTCCAAGCGAAAATGTGTACGTACAATCATTGTGCCGGACATTGAACACATTTATTGTGTGCGAATCAAATATACGCGACATGAGCTACAGAATACGAGTTTTCACCGCGTGTTTTCGTTGGTATAAATGTTTTACAATGAAAAAGAAACTCGCCAATTTCTATACGCTATGCGTTCTGTAATATTATGGTGGATATTATTTTTTCAAGTTCGATTGTTAATAACGTAACGCGTTTTATTAAGTTTTACTCCATTTCGCGTATTATACTCAAACCCGTGTGTTATACGAGCCCACATTACAATATTATCTTTACGGAATTCTCATCGAATGCCCGACAGCAGGCCGCAACTACAGCGGTTTAGTCATGCTGGTATATCGATCGACGTCACTGTATTATGTTTGTTTACGGGGACGAACTCAAAAGTAAATAACACGGTAAAAACTAATTGAGTTGGTACTAAGACTAAAACTGTACAACTAAAGAAAGAAATTAAGAAGAAAATTAAACCTAATTGACTGTTGGAAAAAAGTCTAAAAGTGATAAATATTAAAAGTGAAATAAGATTTGTGTGTTTAGCAGTGCGCGTAAGCCGGATAATTAAGGAAGTTTTCTAGGATGTAAACATTGGAGAAAGAATACGGAAAGAGACAGTCGAACGAGTGAAGCGGGAGGGAATTTCGGAGGAAATTTTCGATGGGAGGAACGCGATCGGTTTTTACCGAAAAAAAAAAAAAAAAACGAAATAATAACTATATTATCATTGTAAATTGTAAATTGTAATGTCTAAACCTTATTATACCGACTTCCCATCGCTCGCAAACGGTGATCTACCCGTGATGGTGAGAAATACGTCAAGCTTCGATTATTCGACGTGTACGGATACGACAAAAATATTGTATATTTAAAGAAAACACGTGTGTTACCTGATTGTTGGCCGGTGTTCCGTACATGCAAACAATAAAAAACGCCAAACGTCTATGACGTTCCCGAGTGTTGCGGTCGGAAAACGCGCGGGGACTATACTGCAGCAGCTGGCGTACGGGCGGGCAGACGTCCGCAGACTGCGGGACAAACTGTCACGCGATAATCATAATATATGGAACGCGGCCGTTATCGTTGTCGAAAAACTCGGGGGAAAAAAAAAACGCCCGTCCTTAAACGCGTCCGTTTGCGCCGCCCGGTAAATATTTGATCGGGCCCGACTCCCGAGTGACACGCGGCGGACGATCGTTCGCATACATTTTTCTGTCCGTACATTATGACATTGCAATAACGAAGTCTCCCTAACCCGTGCCTATACAAAGTGGACGAGAACGCGAACTCGTAACTCATAATCAACAATGAAATTAACCGGCGGTAAACGATTTTCGGAAAAATGGCGAGAAAAACCTAGCCATGGAGGCCCGCAGCAACGCCAACGTCTTTAACATAATCCGCCCAAACATGTTGACACTGCTCCAAGGAAATTGGTGTCCTAAGTGAAAACCTCAAACATTTATTCGTTCGAAAACCACGCCCGGTATAAATAAAAGATCCATATTTTATTCCTTTCTCCCCCTCTCCAATATTGCGCCTGGCCCTTTATTATTCTTCTGACGACTGTGAGTTTCCAACTTTCTTACCTCCTATATATTTCTACTTACAATCGTATTGGTTTCTTTCGCGAATATCCGAAAGAGTACGTACAAATTACGACATTTCAAAACATGTTTTACCGAATTTCGCTCAGGATCGTATAGCCAGCAACGATTAATCGTTGCGCACAGCTACAAATTAAATTACTTTATAATATTATAACCTTCCTAACTTTCCAATTTCAACAGTGGCGCACCCAACAAGAGCATTTTGCAGTTATTTTTTTTTTTTCAAAGGGTAGCTCAAAACAAGTTCTAACGACCGTAAAATATTGAAAACCGTGTTAAATTAAACCTCAAACGATCCCGTAAATAATTGGATGTGGGGGAGGGGAATCGACACAGCAACAAAATTAAATGGAACTCCTCCGAAAAACGCGTCGGTCCGTGATAAATGCCGGAATGTGTTTTCACAGCGGAGGGTAAAAAAAACCGTATTCGGGAGTCACGCCAATCCGGTGTCGGTGTCGGGAAGACGGGCTTAAAATATTATACTTGCGGAGGACGGCGCGCCGCGTTATTATATTCGAACCGTCCGGTCCGATTAACCGCGCTGCAACAGTCGCTCCAAATAAATAATAATAAAAAAAATTAATGAAAAAAAAAATAGAAAAAAAAAAATACGACACCGGGTCAAGGCTCCGCGTCGGCGGTTTTCTGCACCTGCGGAGAGTCGCCAAATACGTCGCCCAACGATCGTGATGTGATGCATAAGGTCGTCGTCGTCGCCGATATAATTATTTCTCGATTACTTACGCACTACGGTATTTTATTCGCGCGGTAAAAGTGGCGATTAAATCCGAAAAAAAAAAAATAATAATAAAACAAAAAACCCCCGGACACACACGCGGGTAGGTCGGTGTCGCGGTAGACGGGAAGCCGGGAAAGTAAAGCGCAGCATACGGGCGTACGGGTGATAGTCGTTGCGATCGAAAAACGATTTTTGCGCGGATAAATCGCGATATTATTATCGCGTTGCATAGATATTCCCCGTATCGTGTACGATGTATTATAAACAATTTACCCCGAGTGGAAACAAACGTAAATTACCTGTTCGGACTTAAGATCGGCGAGCAATCGAAAATCGATCGGCCGATCGAGTGTCTATTTTGTATTTTCCGATGGTATTAGTCACCGCGTAATAGCGCACGGCTAAACCTATAGAATGTAATACCATTGAAATCGCATATCCATATCCGGATGTTTTGTGATACAATTGTTATTTTAAATAATTTCGTTCAATAAATTATAAAAATAGTTGAAAGTATTTTTCAACGGGAGTTACGGTTTTTTTTTTTTTTTTTTTTTTTTTACACAATATTGGGAACCGGAAAACACCGTAGAGTGTATTATTATCGATGCCGAGCGGGTTACATCGAAACGAACCTGCGTGGTTTTTAATGGGAATAATATGTTCGTAATAAATTTAAAAAAAAAAACAGCATCCCTTTGAGTTATTGAACTCTGCCTGAACACTGTGGTTCATATTTAAAAACGAAAAGCGCATATAACTACCAAATTGACGTATATAAGATATGTGGACGGTACAAAGTAGCGTTAAAGCTCGAAAGATTGAACGAGAGACCCGCGAATCAAATTCGCTTTAAATCCTCCTGGGAAACGGCTGGTTCTAGTTAAATGGGTTACTCTGTATAGGCAATAATGCTGACCACCGAAACTGGACGACCGGACGACATCGCGAAACATAACTCGTTAATATTCCGGTTTTGCGAAACATTTACTACGGTTCTAGACGAAATTTAATTTTGCTCTAAACTAGAGTTCAGTCAAAAGTTACTGAATGATTAAATGCTTTTCGGTTAAGCCCGGTTTTAGGACTGCGTAATACTAATTCGAGATTAAACTAATGGGGACGGCGATCCGCTTTTGAGTGCCCACAAAATATCGGTTTGATCTTTGGATCCTTTCCCTCCATAATTGTTATCCGTACCTGGATTTCCTCGCGTTTTCTCGACGCGCCGAAGGAATACTTCGCGGTGTTATACGGCGAAGGGGAGGAAATACAAAAAAACGCCGACAACACAATTCGTATACAAACAAACGTTTTATTGTTTCTCTGGAAAAAAATAAAATACAAACCATAACGTCGCAACGAGACGATACGCACAATTTTGGATTGTACATTACGGTTCTCGACGACATTAGGGCGAAATGCATTGCACATACTATATTGTATAATAGTATTGTGCATAGACACGCATCGGGTAGCCGTTGTTTTTAGTTTCCGAAAATGAATAAAAAAAAAATAAACAACACACTACCCGTATTTTGTTCGCGTGAATTTAAGAAAAACATGATAAAAAATAATTATTTTGATTCGAAACGTTATTACAATGATAATTATCGGCGGCGGCGGCGGATCGCCGAGGCGACTGTACGTATCGGCGTGGAATAAACATTAAAATGTTCGGTTTGTAAAAAATTGTATTGAAAAAAAAAAAAAAAACAAACAAAACTATGCACCGGTAAAGTACCGTCATACCATTATTATAAATATTGTTATGGGTGTGCATAATAACCGCCGGTGTTAAAAACGCGATTATGGGTATTGCACTAAAGCGTTTCGTATACGATCGTTACATACGTATCGCAATAGTATTATCGTGGGCACATAGCGAGTGATAATTTTTTTTTTTTTTTTTTGTCGGTAAATTTATACGATATAATATACAAGCGATAACATTACGTTGTACTATATACGGGGCGTGATGTCGCTGCGTTTTGCTCAACCGCTCGTCAATAACTCGTAATAATATTATCACTCCGTATACGTATACATTTATAGTATGTGTGTGTGTGTGTGTGTGTGTGTGTGTGTGATATTGATTATTTACAGGGGAAATTATCGAAATAATAAAATTAATAATATTACGTTAAAAGTTTATTATAATAATAATAATAATAATAATATATTATACTACATAATATTATATAATACATCGAGCGGCAGCAGCTATTTTCTTCGCGGAGACAACTAGAGGCCGTGATCTCTTATTAAATAGGAACACGCTTATAGATTATTTACAATCGATATAAAATAATTATTGTGATTAGGTATACAATGTTATATATAAAAAAAAAAAAAAAAAAAAATAATAATAATAACACGACAATAGTAATTATGAT